GGTAGTGTCAATTGGATGTGGCTAGTAGAGAATTATATTAAGAATTCATTTGGTCTTGGGAACAAAAAACGTATGCAATGGCAAAATTGCAAAAATACTTGAATAGAGGGAAGAGTAGAGTAAAGGTTAAAGTAAATCAGACAACTAAGTAGTAAACTAGATTTACCCTCGAAGATTCAATAACATGTAATCCGAAGATGTTATAAGTTAAATAAATCATAAATTTATTAAGAGGTTGAAAAAATAATAAAAGTGGAAGACAATAACCTGTACATCTTATGATATAATGGAAGAAGGCTAAATAGAACATTACAAATAAATAAATACTCACACGGGTAAATTTCGCTGCCATCTCTTCTGCTTCCTTAAGTCGACCAGCTTGAACCATATATTTAGTACACAATGCGTTGATATATCTGTCTGCGGTATCTAAGGACTGAGCTTCCTCCATTAACCTGCTGGCAGATATTATATCACCAGCATCTTTGAATATAGTGGCTAGTAGTACATAAAAGTCTATGAGAGTTGGCGTTTTTTCTAATTCTTCTTTCACAATTTGAATTGCCGCCTAATGAAGATAAAATAAGGTCTCGAAAAGAGGAAACAGATATCGAAAGATAAATACAAAGTTAAATTTACGTACAAGAGAGCGTCCAAGGTGATTATGGTGTTGTGCAATAAGGTAAGATAGCCAGAGGCCAGTCGAAGGGGGTTCTTTGTCATTAATTGTCGTTGCATCGCCATCAATCTGAGCGACAGGCCCAAGACTATCATGTTTATCTAAGTTTGCTTTATATTGAAAATACAGGGATTCCAAAATATTGACTTTTTCTGGATGTTCATATAGCCATGCCAGTTGTACGAATATAGGTGAGCCTTTTCGAAGATTAGTCCGCAGGAATGCATCTGCGCGCAGCAGAAACTCATGGCCTAAGGGAGAAATTATTTTAAAACTATCACTAATATACCTTCGCAGACATCGAGGATCCTTCTTCTGGGATATTTGGCACGAGGAAATCGGTCAATTACATCCGTAAATACCTTCATTCTAAGGACTTTATGGTCTAATTTTGTTGATGACCTTGAAATATATAATCGCTCTAATAATTCATAATAATGG